ATGGTGTCGAGGCTTGTGGGTCGACTGATGGTATGGGCGGCGGTGCTGCACGCCCACACGACGCAACACCACGCCCACGCCCGCACCTTCATGCTGGGCTACCTCACAGGCTCTCAGAGACTCCCTGAGGACCTAGAGTACAAGAGACCGGGACTCATCATCTCTGGATCAATTACTCTCGCTGTGGAGGAGGTGAGTCACACCCTTGTATTATCCCTGAGTGACCCTTGTGTTATCCCTGAGTGACCCTTGTGTTATCCCTGAGTGACCCTTGTGTTATCCCTGAGTGACCCTTGTGTTATCCCTGAGTGACCCTTGTGTTATCCCTGAGTGACCCTTGTGTTATCCCTGAGTGACCCTTGTGTTATCCCTGAGTGACCCTTGTGTTATCCCTGAGTCACCCTTGTGTTATCCCTGAGTGACCCTTGTATTATCCCTGAGTGACCCTTGTGTTATCCCTGAGTGACCCTTGTGTTATCCCTGAGTCACCCTTGTGTTATCCCTGAGTGACCCTTGTGCTATCCCTGAGTGACCCTTGTGTTATCCCTGAGTGACCCTTGTGTTATCCCAGAGTCACCCTTGTGTTATCCCAGAGTGACCCTTGTGTTATCCCAGAGTCACCCTTGTGTTATCCCTGAGTGGCCCTTGTGTTATCCCTGAGTGACCCTTGTGTTATCCCGGAGTCACCCCTGTGTTATCCCTGAGTGACCCTTGTGTTATCCCAGAGTCACCCTTGTGTTATCCCAGAGTCACCCTTGTGTTATCCCTGAGTGACCCTTGTGTTATCCCTGAGTGGCCCTTGTGTTATCCCTGAGTGACCCTTGTGTTATCCCTGAGTGGCCCTTGTGTTATCCCTGAGTGACCCTTGTGTTATCCCTGAGTGATCCTTGTGTTATCCCTGAGTGACCCTTGTGTTATCCCTGAGTGGTCCTTGTGTTATCCCTGAGTGACCCTTGTGTTATCCCTGAGTGGTCCTTGTGTTATCCCTGAGTGACCCTTGTGTTATCCCTGAGTGGCCCTTGTGTTATCCCTGAGTGACCCTTGTGTTATCCCGGAGTCACCCTTGTGTTATCCCTGAGTGACCCTTGTGTTATCCCAGAGTCACCCTTGTGTTATCCCAGAGTCACCCTTGTGTTATCCCTGAGTGACCCTTGTGTTATCCCTGAGTGGCCCTTGTGTTATCCCTGAGTGGCCCTTGTGTTATCCCTGAGTGACCCTTGTGTTATCCCTGAGTGACCCTTGTGTTATCCCGGAGTCACCCCTGTGTTATCCCTGAGTGACCCTTGTGTTATCCCAGAGTCACCCTTGTGTTATCCCAGAGTCACCCTTGTGTTATCCCTGAGTGATCCTTGTGTTATCCCGGAGTCACCCCTGTGTTATCCCTGAGTGACCCTTGTGTTATCCCAGAGTCACCCTTGTGTTATCCCAGAGTCACCCTTGTGTTATCCCAGAGTCACCCTTGTGTTATCCCAGAGTCACCCTTGTGTTATCCCAGAGTCACCCTTGTGTTATCCCAGAGTCACCCTTGTGTTATCCCAGAGTCACCCTTGTGTTATCCCAGAGTCACCCTTGTGTTATCCCAGAGTCACCCTTGTGTTATCCCAGAGTCACCCTTGTGTTATCCCAGAGTCACCCTTGTGTTATCCCAGAGTCACCCTTGTGTTATCCCAGAGTCACCCTTGTGTTAGCCTTGAGTCACCCTTGTGTTATCCCAGAGTCACCCTTGTGTTATCCCAGAGTCACCCTTGTGTTATCCCAGAGTCACCCTTGTGTTATCCCAGAGTCACCCTTGTGTTATCCCAGAGTCACCCTTATGTTATCCCAGAGTCACCCTTGTGTTATCCCAGAGTCACCCTTGTGTTATCCCAGAGTCACCCTTGTGTTAGCCTTGAGTCACCCTTGTCTTATTCCTGAGTCACCCTTGTGTTATCCCAGAGTCACCCTTGTGTTATCCCAGAGTCACCCTTGTGTTATCCCAGAGTCACCCTTGTGTTATCACTGTAATGTTAGTGTTATCACGATCACCTTTTACCTATCAGTAAGTCACTCTTCCTCCAGCTCTTGGTTTCCTTGTGTTATTTAAGGAAACTTTAAGTTATACCTGAGTTACGTTTAAGAGTTTACTAAGTTACTTTTGTATTAACACTTTATTGCTGTCTCACCAGGTTTATCCATTTTAAGTCCCTTATAAATAACTCTTCAGGTTACATATATGTAACTATTTACTCATCTTTGACTCATAAGGTAATCACAGATCATCTCTATCATTTATAAGTCACTGGATAGTCACATTTTCATAATTCATCTCTGAATCAATTGCAAGAATTATAACAGTCACCCTTGAGTCATTAGTCATCTCTTAGGAATTTGTATGAAAAAAAATTAAACACTTTAGTCATAAATTAGAAACCTATAAATTAATTATTAATTACCTATGAGTCAATCTACCATCAGAAGTTACTCAACTTAGTCACTTTTTAGTTCCTTGTCTCCTGAGGTTAAAGTTATCAAGTGTGTAATCTTTTAATTTTGTATGCGTATTTTTTTTTTTTTTTTTTTTTTTTTTTTTTTTAAACTTGGCTACTTGATCGGAAGAAATATTTTACAACAACTCAACAAAAATCATCTTGAACAAGACGACATAATGTGACTTGATAAACACGCAAAGGCACACACTCAGGCGCACAAGCAAACGCGCAAGCACCCCCTCCCCCCCACACACGAACAGAGAACACCTCATTAATCACAGAACTAAAGTCCCGTATCAATAAAGCGAATTAAAAATAATCTCGCTTGGGATTAATCCACAACATAGTGCAGCCTTTTGTGCAGTTAATTTAATTATTGGTGATGGGCACTTTCAGTTTAAATTTATAACCCTCCTCAGCTATGAGAGGTTGTTTGGTCCGATCATTAGTGTGTACACTCTCCTAATTGTACTCACCTAATTGTGAGTGTACACACCCCGCTTCTTCACTGGTCGTTACCAGGTCCACTCTCTTCCTGCTCCATGAGCCTTTTGTGTACTCACCAATTTGTGGATACAGGGGTCTAGTCATAGCTACTGGTCCCGCCTCTTCACTCATCGCCACTAGGTCCTCTCTCTCCCTGCTCCATGAGCTTAATCAAACCTCGTCTTAAAAACTATGTATGGTTCCTGCCTCCACTACGTCACTTGCCAGACTATTCCACTTCCTGATAACTCTATGACTAAAGAAATACTTCCGAACATCCATTTGACTTATCTGAGTCTTTAACTTCCAATCTCTGGAATATCCTGTCTCTGTTCACCTTGTAAAACCCTCGCAGTATTTTGTATCTCGTTATCATGTCTCCCCTCACCCTCCTGTCCTCCAGTGTTGTCAGACCAATTTCCCTTAACCTTTCTTCGTAGGGCATTCCCATTAGCTTTGAACTTAGTCTTGTTGCAAACCTTTGCACTTTCTCTAATTTGTTGAAGTGCTTGAATAGGTGTGGGTTCCAAACTGGTGCTACATACTCCAGTATGGGCCTAACGTTCACGGTGTACAGAATCTTGAATGATTCCTTACTGAGGTATCGGAATGTTATTCTCAGGTTTGCCAGGCGCCCGGATGGAGCAGCAGTTATCTGGTTGATGTGCGCCTCAGATGTGCTAGGCATTATACTCACCCCAAGATGCTTTTCCTTGAGTAAGGTTTGTAGTCTTTGGCCATCTAGCCTATACTCTGTCCGCAGTCTTCTTTGCCCTTCCCCGATCTTCATGACTTTACATTTGGCGGGTTAAATTCGAGAAGCCAGTTGCTGTCCAGATCCTCATCCGATTTAATTCTCCTCAATCATTTCACATCATGTCCAAACAGGGACACTTCTGAGTCTATACTTTCCGTCATGTCATTCATATATACCAATAATAGCACTGGTCCTAGGACTGACCCTTGTGGAACCCCGCTCGTCACAGGCGCCCACTCTGACACCTCTTCACGTACCTTGACTCGTCGTTGCCTTCCTGTCAGGTATCTCTGATCCATTGAAGTGCCTTTCCTGTTATGCATGCCTGATCCTCTAGCTTTTTCATTAATCTCTAGTGAGGAACTGTGTCAAAGGCCTTCTTGCAGTCCAAGAAAATGCAATTTACCCACCCTCTCGTGTCTGTCTTCCGTTACCTTGTCGTAAAACTCCAGTAGGCTTGTGACACGGGATTTTAATTATCGGAATCCGTGCTGGTTGTCGTTTATTAGCTTGTTCCATTCTACGTGCTCCACCACTCTCCTCCTGATAATGGTGACTACATTTGCCGTCTTCCATACTTCAGGTGGTTGCCCAGTTTCAATTGATGTGTTGAAAATTATTGTTAGTGGCATACACAGCATCTCTGCTCCCTCCCTAAGGACCCATGGAGAGATGTCCAGTCCTACCGCTTTAGAGGTATGGACTTCACTTAGTGGCTTCTTCACTTCCTCCTCGGTTGTGTGTATTTCATCCAGCACTTTTTGGTATATCCCTTGTTGGTATACCTTCCTGTTATATCTTCCTGGAGCTCTTTCTGTCTCCACTGTAAATACTTCCTTAAATCTCATTTTTGAGCTCCTCACATACTTCTTGGCCGTTTCTTGTGAGCTCCCCACCTTCCTTCCTCAGTCTGATTGCCTGGTCCTTGCCTGTTGTCTTCCCCCTTGATGTGGCCATACAGCAGCTTCGGGTCAGACTTGACTTTCGATGCTATGTTGTTTTCTTAGTATCGCTGGGCCTCCCTCCTTATCTGTGCATACTTGTTTCTGGCTCTTCTGCTAATCTCTTTGATTTTCCTGAGTGCTCTGTCTTCTGTACATTTTCCATTCTCTGTCGCACTTAGTTTATGCCTCCCTGCACCTTTGGGTAAACCAAGGGCTCGTTCTGGTCTTTCCATTTATTTCTGTTCCTTTTGGGAACAAACCTCTCCTCTGCCTCCTTGCATTTTGTTGTCAATCCATCGTTTCGTTAACTGATTTTCCTACCAATTATTTTTGCCACTGAAACTCCTGCAGGAAGTTCCTCATACCTATATAGTTCCCCCTTTTGTAGTTTGGCTTGTCCCGTCCTACTTCTGTTGTCCTCTCCACTTGCAACTTTATGTATTCAGTGCTCAGATCCACGTGATCACTTGTTCCGAGGGGCCTTTCATATGTTATGTCTTTGATGTCCGAACTACTCTAGGTGAATACGAGGTCTAG